TATATATATATATATATATATATATATATATATATATGTATATATATATGTATATGTAAATATATGGATATCCATTGGTGGGCACAGCTAAACACAAAATCAGCTTTACTACCACATATTGCGCCAACTAAAAGAGGCAGCTCTACCAACTGCAGCACCGTGTCGCCCCTCAAAATGTTTTAAACTGGTGTATCAGCCATCAGCTGTTCTGATATGGAGTTGTAATGATGTTGCCACAGTAATACACACCATAGACTGAAGATACTCCTGGAGACAGGTGTACCATGATTTCTTCACAGACATCACACCATCACTGAAGGCTTCTTTACGCCTCCACAGGATCTCATCAGGAATCAAGTTAAGGCCCTTGAAAGATTCCCTCAGAAGGTGCTTCTCCACACCATCCTGCAGTTAGAGATCAGAAAACATTGGAACTGGAACACAGTGCTCCCCATTTGTTATAAAAGTTGATGATATAAGCCAACCTTAGGAACTCGCATCTCTTCAGGCAGGGAGAGGTAGTAAGCTGTAAATCTGTGGTCCAAGAAAGGCACTCTGAGCTCCAGGCTGAAACATTACAACAACACTGTGATCGTCCAAGCTAGAATTTAAGTCAAAGAAATGCCAAAACTATCCGTTATGTCCTGATGCATACTCAGTAATCTAGGTAGATAAATCTAACAATGTTCAGTCAGGTCCTCTGGACAGATTCTTCTTTGTTGAAACGTTTCATCTTTTATCTAAAAGACTTCTTCAGTCTGAGGCCCTGTTTACACGAGAACAGCCTCTGGAAACATGTTTTTTTATGTTTCTTGGGGGTAATAAACGAAAAATGAGCAGGCTTACATGAAAACACAGTAGTTCCCATGTCAGTCGGGTTGCCAGATAAGAAATTATAAACTATAGTACTGTGGCTTTAAAATTATAGTACAAACCAGATTCCAAAAGAGTTGGGACACTAAACAAATTGTGAATAAAAACTGAATGCAATGATGTGGAGATGGCAAATGTCAATATTTTATTTGTAATATAACATAGATGACAGATCAAAAGTTTAATCTGAGTAAATGTAACATTTTAAAGGAAAATATGTTGATTCAAAATTTCACAGTGTCAACAAATCCCAAAAAAGTTGGGACAAGTAGCAATAAGTGGCTGGAAAAAGGGAATTGAGCATATAACGAACAGCTGGAAGACTAGTTAACACTAATTAGGTCAAATGACAACATGATTGGGTATAAAAAGAGCTTCTCAGAGTGTCAGTGTCTCTCAGAAGCCAAGATGGTAAAAGGATCACCAATTCCACCATTGTTGTGCAGAAAGATAGTGCAGCAATACCAGAATGGTGTTACCCAACGTAAAATAGCAAAGACTTTTAAGTTATCATCATCAACCGTGCATAACATCATCAAAAGATTCAGAGAATCTGGAACAATCGCTGTGCGTAAGGGTCAAGGCCGTAAAACTCTACTGGATGCTCGTGATCTTCGGGCCCTTAAACATCACTGCACCTCAAACAGGAATATTTCAAGGAATAAATGTCAAGGAAATAACAGAATGGGCTCAGGAATACTTCCGGAAAGCATCGTCAGTGAACACAATCTACCGTGTCATCCGCCGTTGCCAGCTGAAACTCTACAGTGCAAAGAGGAAGCCATTTCTAAGCAAGCTCCACAAGCTCAGACGTTTGCACTGGGCCAGGGGTCATTTAAAATGGAGTGTGGCAAAATGGAAGACTGTTCTGTGGTCAGATGAGTCATGATTTGAAGTTCTTTATGGAACACTGGGACGCCATGTCATCCGTACCAGAGAGGACAAGGATAGCCCAAGTTGTTATCAACGCTCCATTCAGAAGCCTGCATCACTGATGGTATGGGGTTGCATGAGCGCTAGTGGCATGGGCAGCTTGCATGTCTGGAAAGGCACCATTAATGCAGAGAACTATGTTCAGGTTCTAGAACAACATATGCTCCCATCTAGACGTCATCTCTTTCAGGGAAGACCCTGCATTTTTCAACACGATAATGCCAGACCACATTCTGCAGCAATCACAACATCATGGCTACGTAGAAGGATCCGGGTACTGAAATGGCCAGCCTGCAGTCCAGATCTTTCAACTGTACAGAACATTTGGCGCATCATAAAGAGGAAGGTGCGACAAAGAAGGCCCACAATGATTGAACAGTTTGAAGCCTGTATTAGAATCAGAATCAGAATCAGTTTATTATTGCCATGTCAATGAACGAGGTTCACAAACTAGGAATTTGCTTCGACATAAGGTGCGAATAGTAGTAAAGTAAAATAAAGTAAAAATAAAGTAAAAATTAAGTAAAAATGAGAACATTACATAAGACATAAGACCTGTGTACACCCACAAATAAAGTAAAATTAAAAACATAACATAACCATATGTACACCCATACAATAGAAAACAATAAAAAAGCTTAGAGAACAGTACAGATGGAGTATTCAATTATAATACAGATGTAATGTGACCAAAGCAGAAATTATGAGGTAGCATTATGAGTGTTCAGGAGTCCAACAGCAGAGGGGAAGAAACTGTTCTTATGGCGGGAGGTTCTGGTCCGAATGGACCGAAGCCTCCTGCCTGAGGGGAGTGGTTCAAACAGTCCGTGTGCAGGGTGAGCAGGGCCAGCTGTGATCCGACCTGCTCGCCTCACAGTTCTGGAGACGTACAGGTCGTGGAGGGATGGAAGGCTGCAGCCGATCACCTTCTCAGCTGAGCGCACAACGCGCTGCAGTCTGAGTCTGTCCCTGGCAGTGGCCCCAGCGTACCACACCGTGATGGAGGAGCTGAGGATGGACTCGATGATGGCTGTGTAGAACTGCACCATCAGCTTGGCCGGCAGCTTGGCCTTCTTCAGCTGTCGCAGGAAGTACAGTCTCTGCTGGGCCTTCTTGATGAGGGAGCTGATAGTCGGCTCCCACTTGAGGTCCTGGGTGATGGTGGTGCCGAGGAACCGATAAGAATTTGCAGTGGTGATGGGGGTATCATTACAGGTGAGGGGGGGCAGAGGGGCTGTGGCTTTCCTGAAATCCACAATCATCTCCACTGTCTTCTGGGCATTGAGTTCCAGGTTGTTGCTGCTGCACCAGGTCACCAGCCGGTCCAACTCCCTCCTGTATGCAGACTCATCACCGTCCGAGATGAGCCCGATGAGGGTGGTGTCATCTGCAAACTTAATAAGTTTCACAGAGTCATGGCTAGAGGTGCAGCAGTTGGTGTACAGGGAGAAAAGCAGAGGGGAAAGCACACAGCCCTGTGGAGATCCTGTGCTTATAGTCCGAGTGTCCGAGACAGCTCTCCCCAGCCGCACGCACTGACTCCGGTCTGTCAGGAAGTCTGTGATCCACCTGCAGGTGGAGTCAGGTACATGGAGCAGGGAGAGCTTGTCTTGGAGCAGAGCAGGGAGGATGGTGTTAAATGCGGAGCTGAAGTCCACGAACAGGATCCTGGCGTAGGTTCCTGGGGAGGCCTACACAGCAGGTGGGCGTGGACTAATTTTTTCAGTATGATGCTTGCGCATAACGGGATAAACCCATCAGCGACAGCCTTAAAGGGCTACACCTATATTCATAGAATCTGGGGTTACAGTACGTAACCAACGATTTTTCCCTTAAAATGATACATTCTCTTAGTTTAAACTTTTGATCTGTGATTTGTGTTCTATTCTGAATAAAATATTAGATGTTGGCACCTCCACATCATTGCATTCAGTTTTTATTCACAATTTGTTTAGTATCTCAACTTATTTGGAATCCGGTTTGTATTTTGACCTAAACTGTAATGTGCTGAGTAAGGACAAGATAAATGTGTGTATTGTGTTAAAGGTATGTGTTGTGTTTGACGAACATGTGCACAGATATAGAGAGGGTAATAAAACAATATAAATGTATCTATTCAATTCAGTTTATTTATATAGCGCCAAATCACAACAAAGTTGACTCAGGGCACTTTACAGGAACATTCACACACACATCTGGTAAATATGTTGTCCATTGTTGTCATCATTCTTTGTTGAAATCAGGTCTCTCTTGTAAATGAGTCCTCAAGGCTCAATGGGATTAACCTGTCTAAATAAAGGTTGAATGAATGGTAACCCTGATGCTGAGCTAAGCTGCATTCATTATGGATGCTGTATCTGCATGATCACAATTACATCCAAACTGGATTTTATTGACTTTGCTACTATAAAAGGGTGAGTAGCACAATCGTGCAAGCAACGCACAATTTTCTTGTCTTGTAGTCTTACTGGAAGATGACTCACAGGTGTTATTAATCATGCTAATTGGGTCGGTCAACGTCACAATCCCTATGTTTTGCTTGAAACAATGCTGCTAAAACACAAGTACAGGCAGAAGATAAATTGGTCAAAAGTGGCAGCAATAGATAAAAAATGCCAACTTTGTTTTACTTAATTTTATTTAACCTTTACAGGTAGTCTCATTGAGTCACCACGACTCATTTTCAAGAGAGACCTGTTTAGACAGATAAGATCTGTTTTATACTGTTCACACTTTGTATAGTAAAGATATAACTTATGGGTTGGCTGGACTTTTGTTAAGTGATGATTTGAGATCCTGTAAGTCTTTAGAACTTCCATTATAAACAGGAGGGCAGTACTGGACCAAATCCAAGCGGCTGAAAAATTCCAAAAGTACCACAACCATACAATACAAGCTTTATTTTTAAGGCATTTTAAACAACCTTAGTGTTTAAAGTGCACAAAAACAGTGTACAGCACTGTGTAAACTAAGTGCTGTACAGTTAACTTACAGTGAATAAAACCAATAGCAATCACAATACTTAATAAAAACACATGAACGCAAACCAAAAACAGCATTATGTTAAACAAAAGAAAATAGATCAATCAATTAAACGAAATTATCATATTTTCTGCCGTACACGTTGCACTGCCCTATAAGTCACATCAGTCCAAATATGTCTAATAAAGTGGAAAAATACATAAATATGTTGCTTCGCCGTATAAGTCGCATCTATTATGCAACACCATGTTGTGATTGCGGGTGTACCCAGAATGAAAGACCAAAACTGAACAGACACCAGGACTCAGATAATAATTTACAGTGTTTATTTACAGGGTTGTGATAAATAAGACATCCACAAGAGAACGGGAACACCTGGGGAGAGAGCGGTACTTTAAAGGGATGTGGTTGGATGAGGATTTCTTGTAGAATAGTTCTTACGGTTTGTAGCAGGAAACAGAATGAGATGGTATTGTCCAAATGGTGTCCAGTGGCACAAGGTGAAGCAACAAGTAGATTTTAGGCAAGTGGTGGAAGGCATCCAGCAATTGTAGAGAGACAGGAGGAGTCACAGTTCACATGGAACTCAAGCAGGGCAGGTAACAGCAAGATCCAAACTCGTTGGTAGGCAATGTCCCAGCGCCTGCAGAGTGGTTCCTTAATCTTCTTATACTCCTCCTGGGTGTTGAGTTGATCATCTGCAGCTGGAGCCAATTAGGAGTGTAGAGGGGAGAGGAAGGCAGGGTGCAGGGCAGGATCCTTACATTACCCTCCCCTCA